TGGTGAGATGGAGGGATAAACAAACTTAATACCTAAATAAAATTAAATAAAAAAGGAAATCTCATTGCTGAAGTAGAATTAGCGAGATTATGAACTGTCTTGTTGATATTTAGTACTAATGGAACAATATTCCTGATTTTAGGTGTTGTGATCCTGAGATGCTAGACGAAATATGCCCACAATAAAATTGAATGGCATTACTATTGACTTTCCATTTCCACCCTACAAATGTCAGGAGGAATATATGTCCAAAGTGCTTGAGTGCCTGCATAAGGTAAGCATTTGAGGAAACCCTAAGTAAAGCATAATTCAGCCTGCATGTGTATCAAATGAAAGAAACTTTGAGGCATACATGGGACTGCCTTTGAAGCTTCAAGTGATCAAAATGTCTCTGTTTTAGCAATGTTGCATCCATACTATGATAGCTGCGTGGATTTGCTTAAGGTCCAATTCAAAATGCTGCTTATTACCATTCTAGAGCAGTGGTTCTCCACCTTTTTAATGCCGCGACCCCAACCGGTCATAAGTCGAGGACTAAACCGGTCATAAGTCGAGGACTAAACCGGTCGTAAGTCGAGGACTACCCAACCGGTCGTAAGTCGAGGACTTTCCCTGCCCGGGAGTGCCGCGCATGCGTGGTTCTGCCCCCTGCACCGGACCGAGGCGTAGCTGGCAAGCGGCAGAGACAGAGCAGGCCGACCACCAGCTGGCCCAGCCCAAGGGAGGTAAGGCACCCACCGGAAAAGGGGAAAAAAATGGCGGACAAAAAAAATGGACAAAAAAAATGGTGGACAGCCTTCCTTGGCGACCCCCATGAAATGGTCGATCGACCCCAAATGGGGTCCCAACCCACAGGTTGAGAACCACTGTTCTAGAGCTTTACAGCCTACAGGCATCAGACAGGACAGCAGCAGCAGCATCATTTAGTCTTGGTTGGTCGCTCAACAGTAAGACACTGGTGAAATGAGCATAGCAGCGCCTGCGTTTTCTGTGTTGCATGAAAAAAGCACATCTTCCTTCTCCTTACCACTTTCTACAGAGGGACGATCGAGAGCATCCTGTCATACAGCATCACAGTCTGGTTTAGAAGCATCCTTGCTTCAGACAGGAAGGCGGTGGTGAGGACGGTAGAAAAGATCATTGGCAGTTCCATCCCTTCCATCCAGGACGTGGCGCATAAGCGTTGCCTGAGCAGGGTCCGCAAGATTATCTGGGACAGACACTACACACCCTCTTCACGACCTGTTTTCCTTGTTACCTTCTGGGAGGGGGGGGGCCTCCGTGGTATCTGAAGCAGAACATCCAGATTCAGCCATAGTTTCATTCCATACAGTATTAACCTTGTGAACTCTGAAGCTTTCTCTTTCAGTTATGTTTTCAAGATGGACAGTGATTAATATGTTATTTATACGCAAGGGCGAAAGTTTGTACATGTGTTATATATGGCATGTTCAAATGTGTGTTGTGTATGTGTACACTTTTGAGAACAGGCAACTAAATTTCATTTTTAATGTGTGCCAATGTGCCCACAGTAAAAAATGACAATAAAGGTCTATCTATCTATCTATCTATCTATCTATCTATCTATCTATCTATCTATCTATCATCTATCCATCCTTCCATCCATCCATCCATCCATCCATCCATCCATCCATCCATCCATCCATCCATCCATCCATCTATCTATCTATCTATCTATCTATCTATCTATCTATCATCTCTCCGTCCGTCCGTCCGTCCATCCATCCATCCATCCATCCATCCATCCATCCATCCATCCATCCATCTATCTATCTATCTATCTATCTATCTATCTATCTAATCTAATCTAAGAGGCTCCCAACCTTTTCTATACCCCACACCCCTAGAACGCTTCTGATATATTCTCGCACCCCTTACAAAAGTTCGAAATAACGAATTATGCATAGTCTATAATTTTGAAACTTCTGAACCCAGGTTTTCGCACCCCCTGGAATATCGTCTTGCACACCCAGGGTTGGGAACCCCTGATCTATGTAGTATACCAGGGGCAGAGAGGTACAGTTGAGTATCAATCCAGGAGACTATTTGAAATGGTCCTTGGTGCTCTCTGAACTTGCTTGTTTTGTTGCAGACATTTTATTATCCAAACTAAGTAACATCATCAGTGCTAGTAAGGAGTGGGATTTGTGTTCAGGTTATATTCTGGTGTCTTGCCCTGTCCCTGTTGCTGGGGGTGGTCTTAAGAGATTCTTGGTTTGGGCTCTTTACTCTCGGCTTCTTTGATAGTTTCTTGACTGGGGTATTGTTTACTTCTTGATTGTTGATCTGATATTAATCTTGGGGTTCATCTATGCTCATCTGGGTGTTGATTGCTGGTGGAGAGGTGCTTTGGTCTTTTTGTTCCGTTTTTGGCTAGTTGATTGTCTCTTTTACATAATCTGTAGATATTGTTTATGTCAGCGGTTCTCAACCTATGGGTCGCGACCCCATTTGGGGTTGATCGACCATTTCATGGGGGTCTCCAAGCAAGGCTGTCCGCCATTTTTTCCCCCTTTTCCGGCGGGTGCCTTACCTCCCTTGGGCTGGGCTAGCTGGTGGTCGGCCTGCTCCGTCTCTGCCGCTTGCCAGCTACGCCTCGGCTGGCGCAGAGGGCGGAACCACGCATGCGCGGCGCTCCCGGGCAGGGAAAGTCCTCGACTTACGACCGGTTGGGTAGTCCTCGACTTATGACCGGTTTAGTCCTCGACTTATGACCGGTTTAGTCCTCGACTTACGACCGGTTTAGTCCTTGACTTACGACCGGTTTAATCCTCGACTTACGACCGGTTTAGTCCTCGACTTACGACTGGTTGGGGTCGTGGCATTAAAAAGGTTGAGAACCACTGGTTTATGTCAATGTGTCTTTTGATGGCTAATTTGTCACAGTACCTAGCTCCTAGAAATTCCCTAGCATTTTTGGACTGTGGTTGGGAGTTGGGACATCCTAGGACCGTGGTGGCGAACCTATGGCACGCGTGCCAGAGGCGGCACTCAGAGCCCTCTCTGTGGGCACGCGCGCCATGCCCCGGAGATGGCAACCGTCCCTCTTCAACCAGCTGCCTGCTAACTCGCCAAGGTCCCACGTGGCCAGATGCATCCCAGCACCCATGCGCTTGCTGGCCTCTGTGTGCAGGGGCTGATGGTGTCAGGCAGCCCCTGCCCCCACCCTTGCCTCACCTTGCTCTGTGACAATGGCACCCCCGCCCTGCCTCACCTTGCCTCACCCCACAGGACGAGCCTCCTGCCTACCACCCCACCTGCCAGAGATCCCCTGTATCTCCCCCAACCCTGCCCCGCCTTCACAGATGTCCCTCCCCAAGAGCAACATCGAGGTGATCACGCCCACCATAGCCACACCCACCCAATCTGCCATGACCACCACTGCCACGCCCACCCAGTGGGCCATGCCCACCTGGCACCCGGCGATAAATAAGTGGGTTTTGGGTTGCAGTTTGGGCATTCGGTCTCTAAAAGGTTCGCCATCACTGCCCTAGGAGGATGATTGAGGTGCTAAGTTTTTAGTCTTCCTTTGTTTTTATGGTTTGTAGTTTTATTATGGCGAGCTGCCCAAAGTCAGACGATAAGGGCAGCCGTACGTATCTAATAAACAGATCTTTTTATCTGAAAATGAAGATGACTTAAAGGCGCTCATCACGGGCATAAAACTGCAAGAGAAAGATCCAGGTTAGTGCTAAATATTAAAAAGGTCAAGGTTATTTCAGTCAGAGTGCTTTGAGTGGCTTCATAATATTTCATGCCAAATCTGACACAGCTGGTTGCAAAAAAAATTTATTGATTGATTAATCCATAAAATCTATGTATCATTTGCTAGATTTAGATGTCTTAAAAATAAGCTTAGAGGACTTCGTTTTGGGGGGGGGGGTCATATATAGCAGGGGTTCCCAACCCCCCGGCTGCAGTCCACTACCAGGCCTTGAGCCTTTTGGAACTGGGGCCATGGAAGTGGAGGGCGAGCGTGCGCGCAGGTGCACGTTTCCCCACTTGCACAAGTAGCGGGCGAGGACATGTGCGCACGCTCCATTTGTGCGCGAAGCTATCCCTCCCCCCGCCCCTCTGGTCTGCAAAGCCGAAAAGATTGGAGAACTTTGACATTTAGGACTGCTTTGAAAGCTTTGCAGACATAATAAATACGATCTTCTAACTCAGTGATGACAAACCTTTTAGAGACCGAGTGCCCAAACTGCAACCTAAAACCCACTTATGTATCGTCGGGTGCCAGGTGGCCGTGGCCCATTGGGTGGCCGTGGCCCATTGGGTGGCCGTGGCCCATTGGGTGGCCGTGGCTTTGGTGGTAACGGCAGACTGGGTGGGACTAAAAAGACTTATGTATGGTTGGGTGCCAGGTAGGTGTGGCTGCGGTGGTAACGGCAAACTGGGTGGGACTAAAAAGTTCAGTCAATCAATTCCAACTTTGCAAGATCTTTTTTTTTTCCCGCGAGTTGAAATTGATTGATTGAACCTTTTTTTTTTTGCACACGGTGGCGGAGGCCTAAAGCGAAAAGGTTTTATAAAACCCAGCTGAAGGCCTAGGACTGGGGCGACGGCGCGCGTGCCCACAGAGAAGGCTCTGCGTGCCACCTGTGGCCCGCGTGCCATAGGTTTGCCATCACAGTTCTAACTCAAACATTCCAGAGCAGGCCTATCATCAGTTTACACTCTGTTGATGAAAGCCCAGATGCGCTGGGCAGGCCACGTTGTAAGGATGCCAGACCATCGCATCCCTAAACAGCTCTTCTATGGTGAGCTGTCTCAAGGAAAGCAATCGCACGGGGGACAAAAGAAGCGATACAAAGACCCGCTGAAAGCATCTCTCAAGTCCCTGGATATCGACACCATCTCTTGGGAACTCTTGGCGCATGATCGACCGACATGGCGTACCCTGGTTTACCAGGGGTGCCAGACATATGAACACAGGAGGACAATCTTGGCACAAGAGAAGCGAGCACTCCGTAAAGCCAGAGCTGCAAATGCTGAAGCAACAGTGTCCACATTTCTCTGTTCAGTATGTGGCAGAACATTCCGTGCTAACATCGGTCTCATCAGCCATCTACGGACACACCGCTGATGGCCCACAATCCACAAGATGTCAAGGTCTTCATCGAAATCGATGGGCAAACAACAACAACTCAAACATGAAATTGGCTTAGTTAATTTTCTTGACATACATTTTTTTGGATTCTGCATATATTTTTACCCTATGCAGAACAGATGCATTAGGAACATATGAAACCTGCTTAGCACTTCCTGGAAAGGAGCTTTTGTTTCAGTTCTTTCTCTTATCAGTGCCCGTCATGTTTACATGAGATGTAGGTGGGTTCTCTTTTCTTGATGGAGGAAAAGAAACACTTAAGAAGCCCTTCTGTTCCTGCAATCTGTTCCTAAATTTTTAGTAAGTCGGAAAAATACATTCTGCGCCTGCTTAATGCCGCAAGATCATTTTTTGGGGGACATACTTTGCTCATGGACTGTTTTGTAAATATTATCAGGAGATCTAGCATCATTTTGAAATTTGATTTGCAGAAGGATCCCTTGGCCTTGCTACTGTGATGCTACTTGGTCTTACTACTGGTAGGAGGGTGCTGGCCTTCCTAGGTGCCACCGTACAAAAGCTTGCATAATTTAAAATACCTTTGATCGATTTGTTTGCTTCTTACGGCTATTGACTGAAAAAATGGATTTTTATTCTATCAGGCAAAGAGTTCAACGTAGATTGTACCCCATGATTGTGTAAGCAGAATACAAACGAATTTTGCTGCTGCCGGCAGTATTTCTCTAGGGATAATGAACAATCTCTTGAACAGTACAGAGCCAGTAATTGGGCCAAGGATGGGCACTTTTTTTTTTAAATGGTTAGGGGTCACATTTCTTTCTGAAAACCATCTCCATGGTTGCATAGGGCATGGCCAATAACGTTACAGTGTCCCTGAACGTCAGGTGGGTTAGTGGTAAGGAATGGGGACCACATTCTTTCAGGATTTTTCTGCAGATAGCAGAGAGCTATCATTTCCTCTCTTAAGTGTGCACACACATACACACACACCCAGGTTGGTCTCATCCACCTCTCTGAGACTCTCGGAGCCATACAAGGGTTACTAAAGTGAAGACTGTACAGCAGGGGTGTCAAACTCAATTTCATTGAGGGCCGCATCAGCATTGCGGTTGCCCTCAGGGGGTCGGGTGGGTGTGGCCAGGGTGGGTGCAGCCTACTGGGTGGGTGTGGATGGAGTGGGTGTGGCCTACTGGGTGGGTGTGGCCAGTTCTACATCGTTCGTGTCAAAGGTGCCTGTGGGGGCCTGGGCAGGAGTGGGATAGATCTGAGGGTCTCTGGCAGAAGGGGGTGGGACCAGGGCAAGCGCCAAGGCATGGTCCACTGGAGGAGCCTCACTGTTCCTCTCAGGCCATGTTCTTCTCAGGGGGCTTATGGAGCTAAGACTGAATGCGTTTCAGCATAGAGGGCCACCACAAAATTGTACATTGGCTCCCAGCCGGCCTGGGCCAGGGCCAAGGCAGCGGGGGCCGTTCCCTCACTGTTTCCAGGATGGCTTCGCGGGCCACATGAAACCACTTCGCGGGCCGCATCCGGCCCCCAGGCCTTGTGTTTTACATGTCTGCTATACAGGGAGTCCTCGTGTGAACGCTGCTAACTTTGGATGTTCTTGCTTTGACAACATATGGAGATGCAGCCTTTTTCTTTCTTATGCTTTACTCTTAGAATTAGATGATACTGGGGGAGGAGGAGGAATGTGATGGGAGTTAACTAGACATAACAATATTGTAATTGTGTGAACTCAAGAGCTTTTTGAAATAAGAGATGATAAGAAATGGCGGGTTAGAGAACTGGAGGGAAAGCCTGCATTTCAAACTAATTGGAGAATGTGATTTAGGACTGTTAATTAGAGGAGGGAATTGTGTTTGATACTGTGTGCTAAAGGGAGGGGAATCCAGATTTTGGCTTAATGTCATGTTTCCGACAGATGAAACTCTTCAAAGAACTTCGAGGCCATTGTTTTTACTTTAAAGAATCTTTATGGTAAACAATGCCTCGAAGTTCTTTGAAGTTCTTTCATCTGTCGGAACCATGACACCTCGACTTAACAACCCTTCACTGTTCAAAGTTACAATGGCCCTGAAAAAAGGGACTTAGGACCCACCTTCGCACTTACGACCATTTCAGCATTCCCAAGATCAGGTGATCCAAATTTGAGCACTTGGCAACTGGCATGTATTTACGGAGGTTGCAGCGTCCCAGAGATCTCGTGATTGCCATTTCTAACCTTCCCTGCTCGTTTCCGTCAAGCAGAGTCAGTGAGGAAAATTGGATTCATTTAACAACCATGTGATTTTGGGCCAGTCACCCAGTACCATGTGATTCACTTAATAACTGTAGTGATCCCCTTAATGTCATGGTTCCGACAGATGAAACTCCTCAAAGAACTTCGAGGCATTGTTTACCGTAAAGAATCTTTATTGGAGTAGCATAGCACCGGCACGTACATAGGCCAAGCCAAAATCTGAATTCCCCTCCCCTGAGCACATAGTATCAAAGCACAATTCCCTCCTCTAATTAACTGTCCTAAATCACATTCTCCAATTAGTTTGAAATGCAGGCTTTTCCTCCAGTTCTCCAGCCCGCCATTTCTTATCATCTCTTATTTCAAAAGAATTCACACACTATTACCATATTGTTATGTCTAACTAACTCCCATCACATTCCTCCCCCTCCCCCAGTATCATCTAATTCTAAGAGTAAAGCATAAGGAAGAATAAGGCTGCATCTCCATATGTTGTCAAAGCAAGAACATCCGATGTTAGCAGCATTGACAGTTAACAGTCATGGGAAAAAAAAAAAAAGGTCATAACATCAGGCACGACTTGCTTAGCAGTGGAAATTCTCTTCCTAACTGTGATTGTAAGTTGAGGATTTCTTGTAGATAGACACACTATAGAAGGCTATAGATAGATAAGGCCAAGACTTTGTCCTTATCTAGGCTTGCAGTGTATGGTAGACACCTGTTTGCCTTTTGTGAAGCTCGTAGAACGGGGGTGTCAAACTCAATTTCATTGAGGGCCGCATCAGCATTGCGGTTGCCCTCGGGGGGAGCGGGGTGGGTGTGGCCAGGGTGGGTGCGGCCTACTGGGTGGGGGTGGATGGAGTGGGTGTGCCCTACTGGGTGGGCGTGGCCAGATCTACACCATTTGCGTCAAGGGTGCCTGTGGGGGCCTGGGCAGGAGTGGGACAGATCTGAGGGTCTCTGGCAGAAGGGGGTGGGACCGGGGCAAGCGCCAAGGCATGGTCCACTGGAGGAGCCTCACTGTTCCTCTCTGGCCATGGGGGGGGGCTGCCTGGAGGCCTGGGCAGCAGAGGTCAAACACTCAGCCTGGCCCTCGAGCATTCGTGGCACCAAGCCCAGCCCGACTTCCCCAAGGGGGCACCCATTTGCACTTACCACCTCCTCAAGGCTGCTGTTGCTGTGCTTGCTCTCCTTAGCCAGGTTGCTCATGATGGGTACGAGGGCAAAGTCAGAGGGAGGCCCATTCCCTCTCCATGGGAGGAGACCCGGCTTTGTATCCAAAGCTTCCTTAGCAATAGGATGGGAGACCCCCAGGATAGGCCAGGAGGAGGGGGGCAAGGGGATGGCGAAAGGGCAGCAGGACAGGACTAAGGTAGGACTTCCCTCAGACCCTCCCTCTCCTTTCGTTCCTTCTTTCCTAAGTACAGAGTGGTGGGAAAATATTTGAGATGAGGGACGGAGAAAAACAGGCAAGAAACGCAGCATGCACCCAGGGCGCGGGGGCAACACGGCAGGGGCCGGTCCCTCGCTGTTTCCAGACGGCCTTGTGGAGCTAAGACTGAATGCGTTTCAGCATAGATGGCCACCACAAAATTGTACATTGGCTCCCGGCCGGCCTGGGCCAGGGCCAAGGCAGAGGGGGCCGTTCCCTCACTGTTTCCAGGATGGCTTCGCGGGCCACATGAAACCACTTCGCGGGCCGCATCCGGCCCCCGGGCCTTGTGTTTGACATGTCTGGCGTAGAATGACTTTGTGGAAATGTTTTTCCTTGTCTGGTACTGAAGTAAATATTTATTTCCCCCAGTTTTTTCCCCTTCCTTTTCATTCTCATTTCAGCAAGTGAATGGGATCTTGGAGAGCCCAACGGGCACAGGGAAGACGTTATGCCTCCTCTGCTCGACCTTGGCATGGCAAGCCCACTTCAAGGATGCTGTCACCGCACAAAAAATTGCTCAGCGATTGAAAGGAGAAGAGCTCTTTCCGGATAAACCCTCGTCGTCGTGGGGCGATGCCGTCACAGGGACCGAAGTCTCAGGTATTTCCTGTTTCATTTGGAAGCCCTCGTCACATATTTGCGACGAGATTTTTGACCGTAGAGCAGGAGTAAGGATAAGAAGTAGCAAGGTTGGCCATCTTTGGGGGACGTGCCCCAAAGCTAAAAGATTTGGTTCAAGAATACACATATGGTTAGAGAAAATGACCAAAAAAACCATACAGATTTTAAGCCAGTATTATTTTTGTGAGGCATAATTGTAGGAATTTATGAGGAAGAGTGTATATATCTAATTTTGCGTGTATTAACTGCAGCGAGAATTGCATTCGCTCAATATTAGAAAAACCAAGATTTACCAACGGAGGAAGAGTTAATTAAAAATTTTTTAGATTGTGCAGAAATGGATAGATTTGACATTGAAAATGAAAGAGAAAGAAGATTCAGTATACTTTAGAACAGGCATGTCAAACTGCCGGCCCACGGGCCGGATGCATCACAACAAAACCGTGCCCACCCCATTGCCGGCAATGGGGGAAAAGTTGCGATACATCGCAAGTTTGACATGCCTGCTTTAGAACATGGGATACCTTTTATCAATGGTTAGAAAAACGAGGTAGAGAGAAAGGAATTTAACATGTATTAGTAAGTTAAATGTTGGAACGTAGACAATGTGTTGCTGATAAAATATTAAGCACTTCTGATTATAAAAAATTTATGTGTGTGTGTGTGTGTGTGTGTGAGTGAAGTAGGTTGGTAGATACAGGTAGTCCTCAACTTACAACCATTCATTTAGCGACCGATTGAACTTACAACAGCACTGAGAAAAGTGCCTTACAACCAGTTCCACACTTACAACCTTTGCAGTATCCTCTGATTAAAATTTGGGGGGGGGGGGCTTGGCAACCAGCAGTATTTATAATAATAATAATAAAGTTGGAAGGGACCTTGGAGGTCATCTAGTCCAACCCCCTGCTCAGGCTGGAAACCCTATACCATTTCAGACAAATGGCTGTCCAGTCTCTTCTTAAAAACTTCCAGTGTTGGAGCATTCACAGCTTCTGGAGGCAGGTTGTTCCACCGATTAATTGTTCTAACTGTCAGGAAGTTTCTCCTTAGTTCTAGGTTGCTTCTCTTCTTGATGACTTTCCATCCGTTGCTTCTTGTCCTGCCTTCAGGTGCTTTGGAGAAGAGCTTGACTCCCTCTTCTTTGGGGCAGCCCCTGAGATACTGGAAGACTGCTATCATGTCCCCCCTCGTCCTTCTCTTCCTTAAACTAGACATACCCAATTCCAGCAACCCTTCCTTATATGTTTTAGCCTTCGGTCCCCTGATCATCTTTGTTGCTCTTCTCTGCACTCTTTATGACGATTGCAGCACTGAAATGATTAGTAGCTCGGGATGGTGGTTGGGCTGTTGGTTTGATCTTGGATTTGGCGATTTGGCTGCCAATGTTTCATCTCCATACGGGGAGGGGACATCTTGGGTGTGCTTTGAATTGTGCTCATCGGTCAGAGTGCCGGCCTTTTAAATACCTTTTTGTGTGATGTAATTGCAGCATCCGGGCGTCACACGATAACCACTTGTGACCTTCCCACAATTTGCTTCCAACCAGGAAAATCAATGGGGGAAGTCAGATTCGCTTAGTGACCCTTGTAGTGTCCATGGTTACCCGATTGCCAGTTGCGACCTTCCCAGCCAGCTTCTGACGAGCAAAGTCAACATGGGAAACTGGATTTACTTAACCACCTCAAGATTCGCTTGACGTCTGCAAGCGGTTTGTTTAACAACTGTGGCAAAAACGGTTAAAAAAAACCAAAACCACTGGCCGTAACTCCCTTAACGACTGCTTTGCTTCTCAAGTGAAATCCTGGTCCGAAGGGTGATTATAAGTCGAGGACTACCTGTAATACTGCCCCCCCCCCTCTTCCTGCAGCACTTCAGAATTTGGAAAGTTTAGGGACGATGGAAGTTGAAAGAATACGCACCAGTAAAAACATTACTACGTGCCTTGGGATCCTTTTTCCTAACAAAAGCAGAAACTGCTTATGGGAAAAGCTGGAGAATCCTGCCTGCCGTACGTTTTGTTGTCTGGAGAGAACTTCACACATTGCAAACCAGGGCATCCATTTTCACTTGTCATTTGCGGATGCTTATCCACAAGTGCTTCAATACGCCAGTTGCGCCCCTTTCTGGATCGGGACGCTCTACGCACGGTCACTCAAGCCCTCGTTGTTTCCCGCCTGGACTATTGCAACACTCTCTACATGGGGCTCCCCTTGAGGTGCACTTGGAGGCTCCAGCTAGTTCAGAATGCGGCCGCGCGGGGGATCCTGGGGGCCTCTAGATACTCCCATGTAACACCTCTCCTGCGCGAGCTGCACTGGCTGCCTGTGGCCTTCCGGGTGCGCTTCAAGGTGTTAGTAACAACCTTTAAAGCGGTCCGTGGCAATGGACCTAGGTATTTGCAAGACCGCCTCCTACCAAATACCTCCCTTCGACCAGTCCGCTCCCACAGAGAGGGCCTCCTTAGGGTGCCGTCGGCCAGTCAATGCCGGCTGGCGACCCCCAGGGGGAGAGCCTTCTCTGTGGCAGCCCCTGCCCTCTGGAATGACCTACCCCCCGACCTACGTACAACTGCGGACCTGCGCCTCTTTCGCCGAGCCTTGAAAACCCATCTATTCCGTGCGGCCGGCCTGGCGTAGTTCTGATTGTGTTTTGGTAGGGGCTTTTATATGGGGTATTTTAGAGCAGGCTTTTTATTCAATATTTATTGTGATTTTTATTATCCCCTGTTCACCGCCCTGAGTCCCGTAAGGGAGATAGGGCGGTATATAAATTTAAAAAATAAATAAATAAATAAATAAATAAATAAAGCAAATCTACTTGTTGAAGATAGTAAAAAAAATATGCAATTTTCTCCGTTAGGTGGGCAGTTGGGCTGTAAATTCCCAGACTCTCCCCACAGGCTGAAATTGTTACCATAGCACCAGCAAGGAAAAAGAGACCGAGGATATATTTAGTTACTAAACACAAACTATTATTTTTTTTTTGTCTCCTTCTTTTTCCCTCCTGCAAACGTCTCCTTTCTCCACTTTCTCCGCTTGGCAGCTTATTACAGCGATGTCCCTAAAATAATTTATGCCTCCAGAACACATTCTCAGCTTACTCAGGTCATCGGTGAATTGAAGAATACTGTTTACAGGTAAAGAAAAGAATTTCGACTTCAGCTGTGAAAGTTGAAGGGTTTTATATCTGCCTCACCTTATTATTTATTTCAGAAGCATCCTTGTTTATTGCAGTGATCTGAAAAAACAAAAAAACAACAACAACCCTGCAGGCACAGTAAAAGAACACATCCAAATAAAAAGCAGGGCCGTACTGAATCAGACCAAAAGCTGATATTTGTCCAACATTCTCATCTGCAGAGGCAAATCAGATTCTCTCTTGGAAGCCAACAAGCAGAACCTAAATGTAATAAGTACTTCGTCTCGACTGCTGCTTGGAGGCTGTTGCAAATGATAATGGAGATCATAAATAGCTTAGACGTCTGTTAGCCACTGGTGATTTATCCAGCTGAGCCTATTTCATCTCCATTTAAAGCGGTCCAAGTTGGGGTCCATCACTCCCACCATGCAGTGGATTTCATGGTAGTTTTAATGATGTTGGTTGGAAAAGTATTTTCTTTTATCTGTGAGGATTCATATCATTCAGCTATGTTTAAGGATAACACAATAATCGTTGGAAGGGCCCTTAGAGGTCTTCTAGTCCAGGCAGCAGATCTTATACCAGGGGTCCCCCAGTCCGTGGACCAGCACCGGGCCGCGCCATGCCAGAAACTGGGCCGTGCAAACAAGTGAAGCCCCATCTATGGGATGCAGGCAAAGCCACACTCTGGTCCGTGCAAAAACCTCTCTCCACGGAACTGGTCCCTGGTGCCCAAAAGTTTGGGGAGGGCGCTGCTCTATACTATTTCAGACCAATGGCTGTCCAGTCTCTTCTTAAAAACTTCCAGTGTTGGAGTATTCACCGCTTCTGGAGGCAGGTGGTTCCACTGGTTAATTGTTCTAACTGTCAGGAAGTTTCTCCTTAGTTCCAGGTTGCTTCTCTCCTTGTTTACTTTCCATCCGTTGCTCCTTGTCCTGCCTTCAGGCGCTTTGGAGAATCGCTTGACTCCCTCTTCTTNTGTGCCACCTTTTTTTTCCCTTTTCTTGATCTGTGTTTTTACATTACATGGAAGTACTCTGGAACTTTTGCTGTTCTTGTTGTTCAAACAGGCCCAAAGTTTGTGTGTTGGGATCCAGAGACCAGCTTTGCATCCACCCTGAAGTTAAAAAGCTGGAAACCAATCAAATGCAGGTAAAACTAGAGGTGCAAAATGACGCCAGCCCAAGATTAATCTGCTGCTCTTAGGCTTGATAGGGAACTCAGTTCCCTACTACAAAACTTAATTTTATCATGTGTTTTTGTGAGTCCAGTTCGAAGCACTATCTTGCCTCTTCACCTCTGCAGGAACCCTGTCTTCCGATACTGTAAATCAAGGCTTTTCAACCAGTGGTACGGGTACCACCTGTGGTACATTGGCACCTGGCAGGTGGTACGCGACCATCCTAGAAAAGTGGTAGCGGGGGAGGGGAATGAGCTGAACCGGTGGCAGCACCGCACAAGCCTGAGCGAGAGACGGCTGGAGCTGCAGGGCTGTCAGGGCTCAGCGGAAGCGCCAGGATAAGTGCCGCTTTCCAGCTGATCGGCACTTCTTCGGGGCTGTCAGGGCTTAGTGGGAGCGCCAGGATCAGTGCCAGGCTCCAGCTGGAAAGCAGCCCTGATCCTGGCGCTTCTGCTGAGCCCAGAAGAAGCGCCAATCAGCTGGAATGTTGCAGCATCTCCAGGGTCTTGTGATTTACATTCAGATGCTTGGCAACTGATTCATATTTATGACGGTCACAGTGTCCCAGGGTCATGTGAAGTGACCAAAACCTGCTGCAACCACCCAGCAGACAGGGAATAAAACCAACCTCCCCCCACCCCCGCTGCCAATCCTCAACAGAAACGCTCACAACAATGAAAATCTCAGACAGGAGGAAGAGCGCCGCCGGATGGGCAGGCTGTGGCTTGGGGGGCACTTTTTTCAGTGCCATTGTGACTTCGAACAGTCACTAAGCGCACTGTTGTAAGTCGACTACCTGTACTTCATCACTATTTTCCTTTTTTTTTTTTTTTTTTTTTATCATCAAGTTTTTGACACCTTGCTAGGTGACTGGTGGTACTTGGATATTGCCATATCTTAAAAGTGGTACAATGGGTGAAAAGGGTGAAAAGCCCTGCTGTAAATCACTTTCTTTTATAGCGGGCCATGGTGGCGCAGTGGTTAGAATGTAGTATTGCAGGCTAACTCTGCCGATTGCCAGGAGTTCGATCCTGACCGGCTCAAGGCTGACTCAGCCTTCCATCCTTCCGAAGTCGGTAAAATGAGGACCCAGATAGTTGGGGGCAAGAGGCTGACTCTGTAAACTGCTTAGAGGGGCCTGTAAAACACCGTGAAGCGGTATATAGGTTTTAAGTGCTGTTGCTATTATTATTGTTATATCCTAGTAGACAGCTTCCTGTGAGTGGCCTGGTGGCCTAGTGGTGAAGATGCTTGCTTCCCACTCAGAAGGTTGAGAGTTCAATCTTAGGTAGCAGCAGATATTTCTGTCCTAGGGTGCAAAGGAAAAATATCTACTGCCAACTCCGCGTGGTGTCAGGAAGGGCATCCAGTCAATAAATGCTCAGCTCCATTTAGTCGCCTTGACTCTACCCCAAATTAAGGGATTACAGGGTCATAAAAAGAAGAGTAGAGGGCTTCCTATCAAAGCAGGTGTGTCCAACCTTGGCTACTTAAGGAACTATGAACTTCCAACTCCCAGGATTCTCCAATCAACCCCGTGAAGGGTAACATTTCCACTACGTCCCAGCTAAGCAAGCCTGTCTCCTCTGCAGGGTGTTGCAGACCATATTGCTGGGGTGAATGTAAACACGAGCACTTATTTTAGTCCCATGATGTGATGCACTGAACTGGGTTTTAATTGATTCGCAGATCCACTTGTGTCGTAGGAAAGTGTCAAGTCGCTTGTGTCATTTCTACAACAACGTGGAAGGTAAGTAGTGTGGATATTGACTGATGTAGAATAAGGTGGTTGTTGATGAGAATATAACAGAATAACAGAGTTGGAAGGGACTTTGGAGGTCTTCTAGTCCAACCCCCTGCTCAGGCAGGAAGCCCTACACCATCTCAGACAAATGGCTGTCCAGTCTCTTCTTAAAAACTTCTAGTGTTGGAGCATTCACCGCTTCTGGAGGCAGGTTGTTCCACTGGTTAATTGTTCTAACTGTCAGGAAGTTTCTCCTTAGTTCTAGGTTGCTTCTCTCCTTGATTAGTTTCCATCCATTGCTTCTTGTCCTTCCTTCAGGCGCTTTGGAGAATAGCTTGACTCCCTCTTCTTTGGGGCAGCCCCTGAGATACTGGAAAACGGCTATCCTGTCCCCCCTCGTCCTTCTCTTCATTAAACTAGACCTACCCAATTCCAGCAGCCGTTCCTTATATGCTTTAGCCTCCTGTCCCCTGATCATCTTTGTTGCTCTTCTCTGTACTCTTTCTAGAGTCTCAGCATCTTTTTTACATCGTGGTGACCAAAACTGGATGCAGCATTCCAAGGGTGGCCTTACCGAGGCCTTGTAAAGCGGCATTAACACTTCACGTGATGTTGATTTAAACACACATTTAAAACATACTCTATACAGCATACAACGGTCACTGATCAAATTGTTGTAAGTTGAGGACTGGCTGCATGGAGTATATTTTAAGAGGAGGAACTGTGCTGGAAGCGGCAGTCACAGACTTAGTTTAGAAAAAGGTCAGGGGTCCCTTCTCCTGGCTTGCAGCCGAGCACTGGAGCTTGTAATGTGTTGTCCCTTTCATCTTGGAACATGTTTTCTTTTTAAACTGTGGAAGGGTGTCGAATTAATGTTGTGGGGTTAATGTATTAATCAAAGAAAAGCAGCAGGACTTGATTAAAGTGGACTCGGCACGGTAGGTAGGATCTCAAGCCCTATTAAACATGGCCGGTTCCTTCAGGATTCCCAGAGAGGGGGGTGCTTCCTTATCGCTAATCATTTCATTGACTGATATCTTGAAGACGCATTAATTTTAAAGTAAACTGTACAAGGGGAAAGGCCTAGCAAAGAAGTAGCATCTGCACAATTCCAGTAAACAGATTTCATTTAAAAATGGTGCTGGTTGTGTATAGAAGGCTACTATATTTGTTCATTTGTATCCCACCTTTATTATTTTTACAAGTCACTCAGGGTGGCAAACATATCACAACACTCCTTCCTCCTCCTATTTCTCCCAAAACAACCCTGCGAGGTGGGTTGGGCTGAGACAGAGTGATTGGCCCAAAGTCACCCAGCTAAGGCGGGACTAGAACTCACTGTCTCCTGCTGATTGGCCCAAAGTCATCCAGATGGCTTTCATGCCTAAGGCGGGACTAGAACTCACTGTCTCCTGGCGATTGGTCCAAAGTCACCCAGCTAGCTTTCATGCCTAAGGCGGGACTAGAACTCACAACCTCCCCCTTTCTAACCTGGTGCCTTAACTACAGCTACCATGGTATCAAAATAACACCATGTCCCCCATCCTGCCTTTCTGGAGCCCCAAGTCCAGGAGAAGATGCTTCTAACAAGAGGGATTATCAAGCCCCCGCATAGCTAACAAACTCCAGAACCACCCAGCTTTCACCCCTGAAGCCCCATTTTGTTCCTTGCTTTCCCTCCTTACTTTTGAGGAAAACAACAACAACAACAACAACAATAATAATAATAATAATAATAATAGTAATAATAATGTTGGAAGGCATCTTGGAGGTCATCTAGTCCAACCCCCTGCTCAGGCAGGAAACCCTATACCATTTCAGACAAATGGCTGTCCAGTCTCTTCTTAAAAACCTCCAGTGTTGGAGCATTCACCACTTCTGGAGGCAGGTTGTTCCACTGGTTAATTGTTCTCACTGTCAGGAAGTTTCTCCTTAGTCCCAGGTTGCTTCTCTCCTTGATGAGTTTCCATCCGTTGCTTCTTGTCCTGCCTTCAGGCGCTTTGGAGGATAGCTTGACTCCCTCTTCTTTGGGCAGCCCCTGAGATACTGGAAGACTGCTATCATGTCCCCCCTCGTCCTTCTCTTCCTTAAACTAGACATACCCAATTCCAGCAACTGTTCCTTATATGTTTTAGCCTCCAGTCCACTGATCATCTTTGTTGCTCTTCTCTGTACTCTTTCTAGAGTCTCAACATCTTTTTTACATCGTGGTGACCAAATAACATGAGCCCTACAAGGTAGACCGATCTTACGAAACCAATGCCACTTTGGGCAGTGTTATTTTTATCGTATTAGCTACTGGTATAGTACAGATAGCCCTTGACTTACAAGCTTGGTCATAATGGTTGTAACTCACGACAATTGTAAAGGAGGCCATCAAAGGACTGGCCTGATTTTACGGCCTTTGTTTGCGGCGGTTGTTTAGTGAATTGACCATGGTTGTTAAGTGAAGCTGTAGTCATTATTTTATTTATTTATTTATTTATAATTTAATTTATACCCCGCCCTTCTCCTCATGGGACTCAGGGCGGCTAACAGCCTCATAAAAACTACAATACAAATACAATAATTAAAAGCCGAATTAAAAAGAAATATTTAAACAGGCCGATCAATTAAAATTATCCTTAAAAATCCCCTGAAACTTTAAAATCATTAAAAAT